AAATCGTAATGTAGACAAATAATACATATTTCTGTAGATATATGACGTACCAAGATCAAGAATTCGCACATGTTCTGCCTGTCGCGAAGCAACGACCGAGACATTAATACGTTAAAACAGATCTGAGCTAGACTTTTTTTTATATGACCAACTCGCGTTTATATCGCATAGTTTTCCTCGTTAGAGTCGCTATCTGTACTTACAAAGATCATTCTCTTATTGTACAAAAATTATTGTCTCTGTATATTTCGTTTCTTTCATCTAGAATTCGATGTTATTGAAAATATAATAATTTTTTTTTAAATCGTTGATTTTTCAAAAATGTATTTAATATAATTTTAAGCGCAAAGAGAATATGACGTATTTTAAGCATACGAGCGGTCTATTTAAAAAATTTCAGACTTTGTCTTTATAATTGTAAGATTTACTGTAACAATACTCAAGTATATATTAAGTTGTTGTCATTTATCGTCATTTTGGCGTATTTTATGTCAAAATAACGTTAGTTTCTTACTTGGGTAAGCAAATACTTTGATGTTACTTGTTTTTTTTTACATTATTTTAATGTCATTGAGACATTAAAAATAATAGCAAATACCTTAGCTTGTGTGTGTGTGCTAAATAAATTGCAAGTTCCAAAAAAATTGGGGAATATAACTCACATTTAAATATAACATAAAAACAGAAGTATATTAGTTAATTATTAATTTATAAACAGAAGTATTAGTTGATTATTAATTTGTTTTACAGGCTTCGTATTCGTATTAGTCATGTTCTTACATTAACGGTCTTTATATTATTGAATATTGTAAAAACAGAAGTATATGAACTGGACAGCTTACATTTGCAATGAGCCTTTCAATTTTTTGAAGGTTACTCAATTTATCCAGCGAACAAGCTGACGACAAATAACGTCAGCGTATTTGCTGGGTATTCAACACAATTGAAAGCATCAAAGAAAATTTACATGCGGATTACTTACATTCCTGAAAAATGTACACTAGAACTGTTTCCAAAAATGACGGCAGAAACGTAACAACTGAAAAAGGAAATATTTTAAATAATGTGAGAGTGAATAAATTGTAGAAAAAGCTCTTTAACAAAAACGATAAAATTCAGGTACTTTTTAAATAGATCTCGATCTTCTGTTGTTTTTTTTTTGGTTTTATTGTTTGTAAAATTTATGCAGATAAGTCTTTGAACGATGTATACGAGTCAAGAATTGAATCGATCGGTTAAATATGATATTCTGATCGCAACATCCTCCAGGTCATCGTGAAGAAAGAAGCGTCACGTAGTCTAACAATGGCACCACAAACGCTGTGGCTGGTTCTCGTTGTCTGCTGCAGATTTAATCTGTCAAAATGAATCACCATTTTGATGAGCTCACGGCTAACAAACATGTTCAAAGAGAGTAACAGTTTACGAAGAGCTAAAGGGTTCGCAGAAGCACAAGACTGAACCTAAATTTACCAGCAATTACCGACAACTTTTTTTTTCTCTTTGACACTTTCAAATAAAGTTAATAGACGTTTCCATTTTCCGGGGACAGTCCCCGGAATTTTTACGTACTATTGGTAGTAATTTGAAGAATGACAAATATTAAAAGCATATATTTAATATTAAATTTTTGTTTACTTATATTACAGTTTGTTAAACAAGTTAAAATAATATATAAATATATATAAAATAATATTAGTTTTAAGCATTGATTATTTAAAAAAAAAAATATGATCTGTCTTCGGATTCAGTAAAAAAAAAAATGATCTGCACAGGTCGACTTTACTGAGTATCTAAAAATTTAACTAAATATAAATCTGAAATTAACTTGTTAAACCATCAAAATAATTATATATAGAACGCTAAATCCTTTGTCTTTCCACTTGCTTTTTAAAAAATATTTCTTGAGGTTGTGCTGTTACGAGAACCACAAACTTTAACGATTGTTTCTCTTCGAAGAGGATAGCTTTGTTTTAACTTTAGATTCTTTTCAGGGTTGAAGGGACATCATTAACAAGTCCTAGACGCGCGTCAAAGATACACAAATTTGGAGCGATGCATTCTTCTCCGAAGGGTCTACGACTCTACGTCTACATGAAAGAATTTCGTTTGATGTTCGTGTTCAAATTTACTTTATATTGTTTGCGATGTGAGAACTAACTAAACTAAACTAGGACGAACTGAAGAACGAAAGTTGCTTAAGTTTCCATCGAGTATACTTAATGGGAAAAACGTAGTATTAAACATTATTTTAAAATATTAATGCTTTGCAATTTGCAGTTGAATATTTGAAAAATTTTTGTAGAGAAAAATCTACTTTGCGTTATGATTATCAAGCTGCAAAAGAATATATGTTTATTTATTTCAAATCTACAGAAAGAAATTTGTAATATTTAAAAAAATGATTATTTCTACCGTCATTGAATTAATCATTTATATTTATTTAAATTCATTCATATTCAAAGTTTTGCTAAAATAAACGAAATATAATTAAAATATACAGATGTAGATTTTAAGATTTAATTTTTTATCTATGCTTGGCTATCTTTTTAAAGATAGATTTAAAATCACTTTTCATGAATGTATGAAAATGTAACAGGAAATCCGTGTTCAAATTTTAGATATTTTTTACAATAAATTATTTACAGTTTCAAGATCTTTATTTAAATATCAAATTATTAATATTCTTGTAAGATGCTTATTAACATCAATATTATTAAATTACTTGTCTATTTAATATATGATATTGCTACTCTAGTTGTTTATATAATTGCGCGTCAAGACTGGAAAAGATTTTGGTATGTGATTTGCAGAATTGGATATGTAATATAAAATTGAGCCAATCTCGAAGAAAAGTGAAAATTTTATTATTTTATTACCAATAAGAAACAAAAGTCTTAGTGATTTAATTGGATTTTATAACTGTACGAGCATTCCTGAGCCTTTAGATTATCGACGCGAATTTATTATTCTCGAATAAGAGTGATATATTATATTTTCACTCTTTTCTTTTTAGTTTTTTCTTTTTTTTTAAGTAAGACTTCATTCATGGAGTGATTTTCACTTCAAAAGAGTGGATCTCACTTGAAAAGAATGAAATCTCATTTCTATATATAAACAGTGAAAAGTCTGCCATTCTTGTTTAAGGGTGAAAAGTATTTTCACTGCTTTTCAAGACCGGTTTAATTTACAATCTTTTGGAATAAGGTTTCACATCGGAACAAGATTTACAGAGCGAGCACGTTGAGATCCCCGAAGACGACTATCGGCGGCTAGCTAGCGGCACGTGCGACTGGATGAATGAAAGTTTACGAGGATAGTAAGAACAGGTCAATCTGCCAATTGACCAGCCAGTCAGTATAGTCGGTACCGCGCGAACGTACGGATCTCTTCGGATCGTTTCTCCCTTGAGCCGCGCCGGCACCCACACGGCGCAGAAGCGCGCGTTCGGCGAGAGATACCTTCACCAAGAAAAAATCGGCCGCAACCGGAGCGCACGGGGGCAGATAAGGGTGCTCGCGACGTGGTGGGGGATGGTTGACTCTGGAGTGGCCGTTCGGAGTCAGTTGCTCTTACGCTCGCCAGCCAACGTGACCGCGTTGCGCGCCCGCCTCGGCTCGAACAAAACCGCGTGACGCGAACGTCACGGACCCGTATCGAGAAACTATACGAGGAACGAACAGCGGATTCTGAACGTGCGATCAAAAAAAAAAAAAAAAAACCACACGAGTGTGAGACGAAATCGCGGGTTTTTCGCGAGGCGAGAAACATTCGACGGAGATTCGCGGCGGAAGTCAGTGGGTGGGAAAGTTGCCCCCTCGAGAGGAGCAAGGAATAATGACGGGGGATGATCGTGAAATTGCCGCGACAGCGCGAGGACTGCAGGGATTGATTTTTGATGCGGAGAACATCTCGTAGTGCTAAATCGCGGCCGTGTGGTGGACTTTGTGCCTGGTGTCTTCGAGGACGTATATAGCTCCTCCGATCCGACGCAGTTTACTCGAAGCGACGATCGTTGCCCGCTTCTTATCGTCCGATCGCTTCGCCGGTCGTATATTGAAAGAAACCGCGGAAGAGGACTGATTACATTAGCGTGTATTACTGCCTTTGATGCAACCGGATACACCCCGCGTCACTACTACGCGTCATCGGCTCCCGTCGAAAGAGAAAAACACCGCGATTATTTGCCTATCAGCAGTTCCGCGATTTGATCGTGGGAAGCGTCACGAGGGAAAAACCTGAGAGAATAACATCGGGAGATAAATATGCGCGCCTCTACCTTCACGAAAGAATCCACACGCTGAGAAAAGGAAATCTCGTTGCGTTAAATGGGGAATTTCGGTGGAAAGAGAGAAAAAGTGAGAAAGAGAGAGGATCAACGAAAAAGGTACAAATTAAACACTGACGGTTCGATCTGTCCAACATTCTAGTCGCGATAACCAGAAGTTCAATTACGATAACCAGAGAGAGAGAGAGAGAGAGAGAGAACTTTGATTTATATAATCAAGAATTCGTTTTGTACTTCTTGTCGGTGCCCAGCTAGAGCGACTTTCTTCCATGTGGCAACGTCTGCGTATTTACCGCGCGTAAACGAATTCTATTGTCATTCAAATAATTCATAATAATAAAGCGACGTCACAGGTTTCACAACGCGCGCTCCCCGGAACGTCTCGCGCGTGTCGCCCCGCCGTTTTTCCCCGGATATTCGGCGGAAGTGGCGAAAATCTGAATCGCGAAACTCCGACGCGCTTGCCGATGCGATCGCTCGCACACGTGACGTAACGACGACAGGCGTCGCGACGCCCGCGTCTCGAACGGTCCCGATATGAGGGATCATGCGGTGGCGTCGTTTTGATTGAACGCGTCCGAAGGTTCATCGAGAGGAACGAGAGGAGGGTGCGATATGACCATCGGCAGTTGAGAACCGCGCCGGTAGAAAATCGCCCCGGAAGCTGATCGTCTGCAAGGATCTACGGGGGGGAGGGGGGGAGGGGATTATTATGTTAGGAACGGGATTGTGCTTTCTGCTGGCGTTGCTGCTGGCGGGAACGGCCGTCGCGCTCCTGCCGGAGGATCTGGAGGATCGCGCCGTTCCGGTCAGCCTTCAGGAAGAGTGCGCCTCGAAATGCCCGGATTTAGACCTCACGCAGGTAAGGAAAATATCACCTTCCGGTGATAAGAACGAACCGATATTAAGGTTGACATAGTCGAACTGAACAGTTGACACTTCCGTATCGTCGAAGAATGTTGAAATCTCTAATAACGTTCGGGAAAAGAGCTGATATCTATCTCCCTTCAGGGATGATAGATATATCTTTAGATATGAAATGTTTAATGTTCTGTCTTTCGATTCCGTTCGCTGCTATTTAAAATTTATCGAGAAAACAATGTTGCGAACAAATTACGACTCGCTTATTTCAACGCGGAATATGTCTACCTTCGCTTAGATAAGAAACGGGACCTACTCGCGCATGTAAAATGAGAGGTAGATAACAGAGGCAGCGATTTTGGGAATGAAGTGATAGTTTGTTTATTTGATTCCAGTATGTACATTGAAAGAATGACAGATAGACTACGATTTGCAAAATTGCAATATTGATTACGATGTTTTTGACGTATACGGAATTTTTTGTCTCGCTTATCAGTGTTATTTACGAATACCTTAATCGTGCATTGTATACTGTCTTATTATGAAAACGCGCGTAGATTTCTTGAGACATAATTCTGTTATTATAATTCGTATTAATAATAATTGCGCAACGTTATAATAAGTACAAACGCGATAAAAAAAATATAACTGATTAATTATATTATTTCATTATTTTAAAAAATATTTTAAATATTACACATTCACATACCTATACATGCTTATACGTATATTTATTTATTATAAATAAAATAATAAGAAAAATAATTTTTTATTAATTTAGAAGTGTTATAAAAAAATTTCATCGTATTTTTTTTTAACATTCTTCAAATTAAATAAAATGATTTATAAAACTGTTTTGTTTATTATGTTCCTTGAAAAATACGGAAATAATTTTTTTTAATAAAAAATTACGTGACTTACTATCACATATAAGCTCTTCATTTCGTAAATATTATCTCGATAGTCGCGTATAATGATTCGCGTATTCATCAAACTTTCTATTCGTCGTCTAATCAGCTTTCACGTCTAATGCGAATATTGTGGTCGACGCGACGCGTTAATTAATGAGGAATATTTAAAGACCATAGTGTTGTTCTTGAAATCTATGCCGATGAGCTGATTTGTCGCTTCGACGACCTAGTTGCGTTCTTCGGCGATGCAATGCACGTAAGCGTATCCTTGCAATGTTGTGACTCAGTTTTTCCCTTCAAATTGCGAATTTGTCTGAAGACAATCGCGTACTTCTAGTAGACGTGCTTAGATTTGATAGGAACTCCGACATTTGTTTGAATGCCACGGGTATTGACGTTATCCGCCATTTCCAACAAAAGCGTAGATATACCTTGCGACGTTGACAACAATCGATTGTAATAATCAAGTAGAGATGTTGATAAGAAAGTAACAAATATACCAATGCAAATAATACGCAAAAATAAATAGAATATATTTCAAAATTAATTAAAGGATCAGATTGAAACCGATTCCTTAAAATAACATTTTGTTATTTTTGATTTCTAAATAATGAGGTAATAGTATTATTTTAATACAAAACATGTGATTTAAAAAAAATCACATCTAATTAATCCACACATTTTTCTACTTAAATTATTCAGTTTCAAATATATGCACTTGATAAATAAACTAAAATGTCAGTTAAATTAATACAGTTCTTGAGTTTAGATTGCCATTGTTTCAATTGAATTATGGATACATTGAGTAGGAACAGCGGTAATCTAAAGGGTTAAAAATGACTCAAATAGAGAGTTCAATTTGACATTGTGACATTACTTAACAATGCAGCCTTTCTATTTTTCGGACGTTGACGTTTAATATAAAAAAAAAAAAAAAAAAATGAAATAACGATGGTAAAAAGAGGTATTCGGGATGAAAGGAACAGTATCGATGCACTTTGATATCGCAAGCATCCCCAGCCGCGGACCGAGCGGCACGAAAATGGCTGTGCGCGAGCGACGAAGGACGTATCAATTTAAGTCCACTCTCCAGCCCGACTGTACCATTCATTAATTAACTTAACTACACGACGGCGCATCATGGCAGCCCATAAGCATAGCGTCGAGGATGAAAGACGAGCACGTAACGGATACAGGGCCATATCTAATCCCTTTCTTACAGAGAAGGACGAAAAACGTCGTTCTTTCGCGCGCGCCGCCTTCGCCGACTCGGATTATTGTTCATTATATGAATTATGACTGATCACATGTCGCATCGCGCACACGTATACTCGGTACGATCTAAATTTTCGGATACACTTTATACTTCGTTACTTTTTTCTCTATTCTACGTGATCGGAATTTTTAGAATTTATACTTCATTATTTTTTCCCGGCAAATATAATCTTAATAATTTATAAAATATATACATTTTATGAAAACGTCAGTAAAAAGTATGAGGAAAACTTTTTGAAAATTTTTGCGCCCGCTTTACTACACTTTTTATAATACGTTCGCGTTCTGAGATTGAAAATTTCGAAAAGAAAAGCTTTCATAAGATAAAAATTGTACATTTGAATTTTACTAAGAATATATATATTTATAACGCAATCAGAGTGTTACTTTTACTTTATTACTTGCAAGCAGCAAAGTAAACTGATCCATTGCGACAGCGTGCGAAAGACCTCGGCATGAAAAAGGTTTTAATCAATGCGTTTGACAATTGACGTGAACGAAATTGGTACCAATTATCAATTTAGCTCTCCTCTCAAAAAAGTTCGCCGCCAACGTGCGCCTTTTGGTATCAGATCATCGCTCGACTTTGCGTGTAAAGACAATTCTTCCAATATTTTTTCACACCGAAAACATGTGTGACAATTGCTCCAAAGCTCTATAAGCGTTATATTAAAAAATGTCGGCAATGATAACAAAAATTAACTGTGCAAGAAACAATTTTGGACAAATGTGATGAGTAAAATCATTGTAACAAGAGTACGTCTAAATTTTAATTATTCAACTAATTTTTAACTGCACGGAGAAAACAATGTCGTTGATCTGGTGATTTATCTGGTGATGCCAGATTAAATAGTAAAATATGGAGCAACTATTATATTTATGTGATTGCCTGAACCACAGTATAATGATCGAATGACTTGCAGCAATGACGGTATCTGGTTATAATCGGACTGTTCCTTGATCATTTAACTATGATTGTTTTAATGAACTGCATTTTTTGGTTCGTTCAGACGAATTGTTGATATTAATATTTATTAATTTTTATTAATTATTTCATTCTTATTACATCATGCTTTGATGTAATTATATGGATATATATATAGATATAGCTTATCCATGGTGATCACACAACCAAGTTTTATTTGTCACAGCCAGATAACGCGTTACTATGTTATAATGTAGTTGACATATCTAAATAATATCCATACATATACCTATCACATAAAGATAACTACGATGATGTAGCTGTATTGCCCACAACTAAATACTTCTAATTATGTAAACCATATCTTTTTTTATAATATAATTTTTAATTACTTTAATTATTAAACTTGTGTTGCAGATTTACATGTTACGATACCCTATTTCTTACAACAAACAGATGCCGCGCGCAGACTGGCGATGAATTAATTTTTACTAATTAGCTTATGACAGTTGCGCGATATTGTAAGTCATCGAACTCTCGCAACCCTTCCTCGCCCGCGCGCTAACGAATCAATTATTCCGCCGCCGTCGCAGATAAAGGGAGAGTCGTGGTCCAGAAAAAAAAATCACTTTCTTCGATCTCTTATCTGCGCAATGCATAACTCATTCTTTCTTACTAATCATCCCCCTCCCCCTTTGTTTTCAAATGATCGAAGGAAAGGGAGTCACGCATAGTTTCACTAATAATTTATAGATCCGAATCATGATTCGTACAATAAAGTTACAATTAATGAAAAATAATCGGTGTGCCAATTGCGTGAACGAAAAAATATATAAGTAATTGAAAACAAAAAGTATTATTAGACACCGCGAGATTAAATTTGATCGAATATGGTTTCCTGCACTTATTGCATTAGATTTTAATTGAAAAATCTCAATTTTAAAAGGTACATAAACCGGAAAGAATTCGCTCCTTTAAAGAGATTAACCTAAAATAAATTTTTATGCAATTTAAGTTATCAAACGTTTAACCTCTGTGATAAATGTGGATAAATATAGCATCTTTTAGTTACACAATATGCTATATTCTTATTGCCTGTATTGATTATATTGTTATACAATCTTTAATTTCATCGATGTATCTTTATACAAACAAGTTCGAGATCAGAGAGAACTTTTTCTTGTGTAAAAGTAAATAATTTTATTTGCAAAATGAGTTTACATAATTTATGTTGTTTAATATCGAGAAATATTAACGATCTGAAATGTTTAAAGTAGTCTCTCATTTATATTAAAAATGATGCAAAAAAATGGTGCCCTCGTATTATTTACTATACACATAAGGATAGTAAAGTTCTTATCTTTCATGCTTAGAAGATAACCTTAAGCTTGCATAACATCCAAAGAATATTCCTCAGACGTCTTCATTTCTCGATTGTCGGCCCTGACGTTCTAATCTCGAATCGGTACGATAATTCTTATTTAACGTAATAAATAATTTATCGTTTCTCGATGTCGCTCAGGATATATAATTTATTCTAATACGTCGACTTTAAATGTCATAATATCAACACAGGTAATTGATCAAAAGTAAAGCTATATCAACAAGAATTACCGTACGTAAAAATTGTTTAAATAATGTATAATGTTTATCTACTTAAATATTGTGTATTTATATATTTACTGTATATATACACTTATTGCACACATTATATAAGTATAATATGTTATAATTGCACGCATCTTTGTTAGAAACAATTTTATCTCATATGTAATTTATAGTGTATTTTTTGAAATAACAAATAAACAATATTGCGTTTGTATTGTAAAATAAGTAATGCAAAATACTTGTGGACAAGTGACAAAAAGATAATGATGTTACACTGATATT